GTTAGTGAAATGTTTTTATAATCTCATTGCATTTGTGCTGAATTTAATATTAAGATTTTTGTTTCTTCGTCAATAGTTTTAAAAAAAATACTGTGAACTCAATAGGCCACCACCTTTCCAATGGTTTGGAAACCTAAAATAAGAAAGATGCTAGGAAGTAGTTGGTTTTAGAACCAACCAGTCCTGGGGCCTCATTCAAATTCAAATGCTTATTTGAATATCTGTATGCAATATGGGAAATATAAAGATGTATGGCATTCTTTAAGTTCTCACACTTGGAAACAGAGAAAAAATATAAAAATCAAACAGGAAGTGATCATCTCAGCCCTCCCTCAGGGTGGGAACCTGTTACAGAGCTGACATGAGAGACGAGGCTGTCTGCCCCTAGAAAGATTTACAGTCTTAGAAACCTTATATGAAGTCACTGTAAAATTTCCCTATGAGTCTCAAAAGAGCCCTGGTGGCAAAGTGGGTTAGGCATTGGGCTGCTACTGTCAGTGGTTCAAATCTTCCAGGCACTCCCCAGGAGAAAGAGGAGGCAATCTGCTCATATAAAACACTAAAGAGCAGTTCTACTCTGTCTAAGAGTGGAAGTCCCCTCGGTGACACTGGGTTAATCAGTGCTTTCTCAGTCACAAAACCAAGGTCGTGCCACCCACTAGTTGTTTACTGTTTGCTGGATCACGAGGGATGTTGTCTCCAGTTTTGAACTCTGGGACATCCCCTCCCCAATCACTATATTTATAGTTCACACGAACTCATCGAGTCCCAGAGAAGGAGAGCGGGGAAGACATCTGCAGTTCAAGATGAAGTAATGGCAAGACCGAAGGAGTTATGGTGGTGTATTTGTTTTTATTGGTTCCGCATTTGGCAAATCCACTAGGTGTTCCAAGAGAGAAAAGAGGAGGTAGTCTGCTTCCTTAAGGATTTACAGACTCAGAAACCCTAAGGAACCGTTCTAGTCTGTCCTAGAGGTTAACCTGCGAATCGGAATGGCTCTATGACAGTGCTTTCTAATTTTATTTTTTTAACTGAAGAATGAATACTTGGACATGTGCCTAGCACGGAGGAAGAGTACCGATTTAGCGGATTGTTGGCTGTAATTTAAGGATGAGGGTTTCTGTCGGACCCTCAATGTCAGGCCAATGCAGCAAGGTCAAAGAGGCAGGGTCACCTTGGCGCTGGGCAAGCGGGCACCTTGTCCCGTTGGGCGCTGGCGGGCGCAGGGCGCAGGCGCGCGCACGTGGGCTCCGGCACGCAGCGCTGCGGCCTGCGCCGCGGCCGCTCAACGCCTCGACGCCGTCGAGCCTCCCGGGCGCCCCGTTTTGAGGCCGGGGAGGCCTATCGGCCAGGCCGGGAAGGGGCGAGCCGCGAAGGTCGTTCCCAAGGTCGTGGCCGGACGTGCGGCGCGGAGCCACGCGGAGTGCATGCGGGACTCGTTGTACGTGCCGGAGCCCCGAGCCCTCATGCCCGCCGCGCACCCCGCCCCTCCGGGCCCGACTCCCAGACCCCAGCTCTCCCCCGGGGTCCCCACGGGGGCGCGACTCGCCGGAACCTGGGAGCGCCGCTGGGGACTCAGGTGGCGGGGGGTCCCGCGCCCTCAAGTCACCTCTCCCCC